TCAGTGGAACAACTTGACTCCAGAAATTGTGGGTGTTCCAGCACTGAAGAGATTGGACAGCCATTTGTCTGAAATGATATAGGACCGTGATGGCAAACGTATGGCACGCGTGCCGCGGGTGGCATGCGTAGCCATATTGGTGGGCACGTGAGCTCAGCTCCAGCATGCCTGCATGCACCAGCCAGCTGATTTTTTGGCCTTCTGGGCCCACCAGAAGTAGGGAAACAGGCTGTTTCCTGCCTCCTGAGCACCTTGGGGTGGTGGTGCTGAAGGCCCGTTTTTCTCTCTCCCCAGCCTCCAGAGCCTTTCTAGGAGTCTGGGGAGGGCGAAAACAGCCTTCCCCACCCCCCCCCGAGGCCCTCCGAAGGCTGGAAACGGCCCATTTGCCAACTTCCGGTGGAACCAGAAGTCCCATTTTTTGTTGTCCCCAGCCTCCAGAGCCTTTCTAGGAGTCTGGGGAGGGCAAAAACAGCCTTCCCCACCCCCCCTGGAGGCCCTCCGGAGACCAGAAATGGCCCGTTTGCCAACTTCCAGTGGGATCACTGGAAATGGGCCGTTTTCAGCCTCCAGAGGGCCTCGGGGGGGGAGGCAATTTTCGCCCTCCCCAGACTCCGGAGGCTAGGTAGAGCAAAAAACGGGCCTACCGTGCCATCGCATGCCAGGTGCGGGGGCAGTGGGGGGGTTGCGCGCACATGCGCAGGGGCAAGGCAGGGGCAAGGCACATAGAATTATGGGTGTGGGCATGCACGCACAACACCCCCCCCCCATGACTGACCCAGATTGGATCCTGCAACATTATCCTGAGACATATAGATTCAACTTCATTCATTCACACAAACTGAACTCCTTCATCTAATACCGTGTTATAAGACCCTGTCTTATATTTTTTTGAACCCCAAAATAAGCATTTGGCCTTATTTTCAGGGAGGTCTTATTATTTTGGGGCGCGTGGAGCAAGATGGGGCTCCTCTTGCCGTCTTACCTGATTTCCAGCTCTGCGTTTAAATATTTTCAGGGAGGGCTTATTTTCGGGGGGGAGGCTTATTTTAGTGCATGTGCTCAAAAGCCCGATTGGGCTTATTATCAGGGGATGTCTTATTTTCGGGGAAACAGGGTAGTTAGAACAATTAATCAGCGGTGCAACTTGCTTTCAGAACCTAACCAGAGGAAAATGGCGGGGACCGATTTGCATGTGCTTAAATATTTTCAGGGAGGGCTTATTTTCTGGGTGGGGCTTGTTTTAGCACATGCGCTCAAAAGCCTGATTGGGCTTATTTTATAGGATCAGGGAGGTCTTATTTTCGGGGAAACACAGCATGGTCGTCTTTCTCGGACGCCGAACAGAAGATCTAAATGTCAGGTGCCAGCTAACACAAAACTTTTAAGGCCCATTTTCTTCCAAATTTCCCTGTTTGCCTTATAGAAATCAACATCCCTTTCCCCCCCGCCCCCCATTCTGCTTTCCAACTTCATCTATGCCCGCTGCACGCCGGGACGCCTTTCCTCCTGCACAGCAAAGACCAAAAAGTTGGACAAATCAATTCTCTTAACTATAGAATTGGGGGGAAGGGGGGGGAGGAAGAAGAAGCCGGTATCGTGAGCGGCGCAGAGAACGGAGAAAGGAAAGAGGCCTGTGGTTGCGTCTCCGTGAATAGGCAGCCGCAACTGGCCCACTGCCGTTTTTTCTACACGCTGACTGCCAGCGCCCTGGGATCGCCTTTGAAATTGACTAAGCTGCAAATTGCTTCTCTAGGCCATAGTTCTGAAGAGGCTCCATGCGGAGAACACAAAAAGCGGGACCTCAGGTTTCCACCGAGGCTTGGAGGAAAAGAAAGTGTTCTCCCTGGGTGGGGGGTCATTCCTCCACCCCCCCAAAAAGGCCTTTTTTTTCCCCCAGAAAGCATTGAATCAAAGAGGGCGGGTAGCACCCGTTGCTTCCAGGTCATCTCACTTCCTCCCACACAAAACCATTGTTCTTTTTCTCCCAGGTAGGTGCCGTTCAACAAGGTGGAGTTAAAGTATCTTTGTTTATAAAAACACATATCCAAGTCCCGTATCCAAGGACTTTCCTTGGGCAGCTTACAGCATTAAAGCATTCAAAAGAACCATTCAAATCAGCAATCACAGAGGTTAGGGTTAGGGACTAGAACTCACAGCCTCCTAGCGATTGGCCCAAAATCACCCAATCGCCTTTCAAACCTAAGGCGGGACTAGAGTTCACCATCTCATGATGATTGGTCCAAAGTCACCTTGCTGCCTTTCATGCCTAAGGCGGGACTAGAACTCACAGCCTCCTGGTGATTGATCCAAAGTCACCCAATCACCTTTCATGCCTAAGGCGGGACTAGAACTCACAGCCTCCTGTGACTGGTCCAAAGTCACCCAATCATCTTTTATGCCTAAGGTGGGACTAGAACTCACAGCCTCTTGGTGACTGGTCCAAAGTCACCCAATCACCTTTCATGCCTAAGGCAGGACTAGAACTCACAGCCTCCTGGCAATTGGCCCAAAGTCACCCAATCACCTTTCATGCCTAAGGCAGGACTAGAACTCACAGCCTCCTGACAATTGGTCCAAAGTCACCCAATCATCTTTATGCCTAAGGTGGGACTAGAACTCACAGCCTCTTGGTGACTGGTCCAAAGTCACCCAATCATCTTTTATGCCTAAGGCGGGACTAGAACTCACAGCCTCCTGGTGATTGGTCCAAAGTCACCCAATCACCTTTCATGCCTAAGGCAGGACTAGAACTCACAGCCTCCTGGTGATTGGTCCAAAGTCACCCAATCACCTTTCATGCCTAAGGCAGGACTAGAACTCACAGCCTCCTGACAATTGGTCCAAAGTCACCCAATCATCTTTTATGCCTAAGGTGGGACTAGAACTCACAGCCTCTTGGTGACTGGTCCAAAGTCACCCAATCAACTTTTATGCCTAAGGCGGGACTAGAACTCACAGCCTCCTGGAGACTGGTCCAAAGTCACCCAATCATCTTTTATGCCTAAGGTTGGACTAGAACTCACAGCCTCCTGACAATTGGTCCAAAGTCCACCCCATCACCTTTCATGCCTAAGGCGGGACTAGAACTCACAGCCTCCTGACAATTGGTCCCAAAGTCACCCAATCATCTTTTATGCCTAAGGCGGGACTAGAACTCACAGCCTCCTGGTGATTGGTCCAAAGTCACCCAATCACCTTTCATGCCTAAGGCAGGACTAGAACTCACAGCCTCCTGGCAATTGGCCCAAAGTCACCCAATCACCTTTCATGCCTAAGGCAGGACTAGAACTCACAGCCTCCTGACAATTGGTCCAAAGTCACCCAATCATCTTTTATGCCTAAGGTGGGACTAGAACTCACAGCCTCTTGGTGACTGGTCCAAAGTCACCCAATCATCTTTTTATGCCTAAGGCGGGACTAGAACTCACAGCCTCCTGGTGACTGGTCCAAAGTCACCCAATCATCTTTTATGCCTAAGGCGGGACTAGAACTCACAGCCTCCTGACAATTGGTCCAAAGTCACCCAATCACCTTTCATGCCTAAGGCAGGACTAGAACTCACAGCCTCCTGGCAATTGGCCCAAAGTCACCCAATCACCTTTCATGCCTAAGGCAGGACTAGAACTCACAGCCTCCTGACAATGGTCCAAAGTCACCCAATCATCTTTTATGCCTAAGGTGGGACTAGAACTCACAGCCTCTTACTGATGACTGGTCCAAAGTCACCCAATCACCTTTCATGCCTAAGGCAGGACTAGAACTCACAGCCTCCTGACAATTGGTCCAAAGTCACCCAATCACCTTTCATGCCTAAGGCAGGACAAGAACTCACAGCCTCCTGGCAATTGCCCAAAGTCACCCAATCACCTTTCATGCCTAAGGCAGGACTAGAACTCACAGCCTCCTGACAATTGGTCCAAAGTCCACCCAATCATCTTTTATGCCTAAGGTGGGACTAGAACTCACAGCCTCCTGGTGATTGGTCCAAAGTCACCCAATCACCTTTCATGCCTAAGGCAGGACTAGAACTCACAGCCTCCTGGCAATTGGCCCAAAGTCACCCAATCACCTTTCATGCCAAAGGCAGGACTAGAACCACAGCCTCCTGACAATTGTCCAAAGTCACCCAATCATCTTTTATGCCTAAGGTGGGACTAGAACTCACAGCCTCTTGTGACTGGTCCAAAGTCACCCAATCATCTTTATGCCTAAGGCGGGACTAGAACTCACAGCCTCCTGGTGACTGGTCCAAAGTCACCCAATCATCTTTTATGCCTAAGGCGGGACTAGAACTCACAGCCTCCTGACCAATTGGTCCAAAAGTCACCAATCACCTTTCATGCCTAAGGCAGGACTAGAACTCACAGCCTCCTGGCAATTGGCCCAAAGTCACCCAATCACCTTTCATGCCTAAGGCAGGACTAGAACTCACAGCCTCCTGGCAATTGCCCAAAGTCACCCAATCACCTTTCAAGCCAAAGGCAGGACTAGAACTCACAGCCTCCTGACAATTGGTCCAAAGTCACCCAATCAACTTTTATGCCTAAGGCGGGACTAGAACTCACAGCCTCCTGGTGATTGGTCCAAAGTCACCCAATCAACTTCATGCCTAAGGCAGGACTAGAACTCACAGCCTCCTGGTGAATTGGCCCAAAGTCACCCAATCGCCTTTCAAGCCTAAGGTGGGACTAGAACTCCCAGCCTCCCACTGAGATGTTAGGAATGGGGAAGGTGCAGCCTTTCCAAACAACCAATCAGCAAAGACAGCTATGCCTTAGCAGAAGTCCCCAACCCCTTCCTCCCTCTCCTCCTTGTCTCTTTCCAAGCCGAGAGGTCCATTCCCAATGACCCAGCTTTCCATCTCCCTGGAGGATGGGCCTCTCCATTTGCAGCTTCGGTGGCTTTGACGCACGAGGGTGAGAAAAGGTGAGACGGGAGCGGAAGAGAAGAAAAAAGGATGCATGCCACCGTCTTCTCTGGTCCCGGCGAGTCACACTTACATGTTGTGAAGCACACACCATCCGCAGTGGGGGTCCCCTGAGCCCAGGCACTCGCTACAACTTTTGTACTGTTCGCAAGACTCCACCGGTACACGGATAAGCTGTGGGGGACAAAAAGGAAAGAGAAATTTTAACAATTCGGAACAAGTCACACAGGTTCCTAACCTGTTAATGTCGGGTCCGTCAAGGCTGTTAATGCCCAACCTTGGGGAAATATCTCAGGTTCATGATCAGAATAAGTTGGTAGGACTCCAAATTCAGCAACAATTTTATCATGGAAGCCAAAACAAACAAGCTGTGATTTGCAGGCTTAAGTTGAATATAAACCTTTTGTATAGAGTGATGTCTGGCTTGGGGAAAAAACGAGCAGGGAGCACTCAGATACAGGAGCCATCAACAGGCACGTAGAGATAAACAATGTCTACATACCATTGAAAAGAGACAGTCCAAAAGCTAAACAGGAAACAAAAGGACCAAAGCCCCTCCTCGCCAGCAATCAACGCCAAGTAAAGAAGAGATAACACCAAGATCAACACTAGATGAACAATCAGAAGTAAATAATACCTCAATCAAGGAACTACCAATTCATACAAGCAAACGGTAAACAACATTTCAATTAAGGAACCACCAAGAATACTTCCACCCACACTGACAGGGCAAGCCACGAGTATATAAAAATAAGAGCAAACCCAGGGGTGAAATCCAGCCGGTTCTGACAGGTTCTGGAGAACTGGTAGCAGAAATTTTGAGTAGTTTGGAGAACTGGCAAATACCACCTCTGGCTGGCCCCAGAGTGGGTTGGGAATGAGGATTTTGCACTATCCTTCCTCCGGAGTGGGGAGGGAATGGGGATTTTGCACTATCCTTCCTCCAGAGTGGGGTGGGATTGGGGATTTTGCACTATCCTTCCCCTGGAGTGGGGTTGGAATGGAGATTTTGCAGTATCCTCCCCCTGCCACGCCCACCAAGCCACACCCACAGAACCGGTAGTAAAAAAAATTGGATTTCCCCACTGAGCAAACCCCATACTCATCTAGCACTGATGAGTCCTCCCAGGACTGATGAAGTTACTTAATAGTAGATCGATCAATTGATCTATCTATCTATCTATCTATCTATCTATCTATCTATCTATCTATCTATCTATCTATCTATCTATCTATCATCTATCATCTATCATCTATCATCTATCATCTATCATCTATCATCTATCATCTGTCTCTCCATCCGTCCGTCCATTCATCCATCCATCCAGCTATCTAGCTAACTTCCTTCCTTCCTGCCTGCCTGCCTTCCATCCTTCCTTTTCTTCTCTCTCTCTTTCTCTTTCTTTCTTTTCTTCTCTCTCTCTCTCTCCTTTCTGGCTATCTATCTTTCATCTACCTACCTACCTACCCATCCATCCATCCATCCATCCATCCATCCATCCATCCATCCATCCATGGGGTATAAACCTAATAGAGTCAAGAAAGAAAGTAAAAAGGGAAAAAGAAAGGAAATGGTAAATCTGCAGAAAAAAGCTTCTTTTTTAGAAGAAAAGATTCTAATTTTCTTTGCAGCAAGTGCAATTGCAAAGTTATCTCTTCCTAGAGTTACAAGAAGAAAACCTCACTTTTTTTTCTACTACGTGATTTCCTCCCCCCCCCTCCAAACCATCAGACCCACAAATCATAGGTCGATTTTTTTTTTCTGTGTCATGCAAAAAGTCTATAAGGGGGTTTCCAGTCAGTCATAAATGTAGATATTGTCATTTCTTTAATCAAGGAAGTCACTGGAGATTTCTCTGCGAGTTCCATCATCTTCACCAATCCTTCCTCCATTGTGGAGAGTGTCAAACCTCTCCACTTTTGAGCATATAATAATCTCGCCACAGTTGTCATATATAAAATGAAGCCTCCGTGATTTATTTCAAGCTGTCTATCTGTTAATCCCAAAAGAACAGCCTCTGGTTTTAATTGTATTTTAAAGTCTTCTGAATTCATGCATGTATTTGCATCCAATTTTCTTTTTTCTTTTGCTCTTTTACATGTCCACAAAACATCATAAAGTGTCCCTTTAGATGGTCCATATCTCCAGCATAAATTTGAAGTATCTTTAAACATTTTAGATTAGACCATTCTGGCGTCATATTACCATGCCACTTCATTTAATAAAAAAAATTCTCTTTAGGACTGGAACTTAATCTAAACGTCAATTCTTTCAACCACATATTTTCTCATTGATTCCATTTGTGTATTGTAGCCAAATTTTTTTAGCCCATTTTTGTTATACAGGCAATATTCGATCACAACTATCCGTTTAGTGACCGTCTGAAGTTACAACGGCACTGGAAAAAAAAGTGAGTTATGGCCAGTTTTTCACACTTACGACCATTATAGCATCCCCTGTGGGCATGGGATCAAAATTCGATGTCAGCGTTTTAACGCTGGCATAGAGAGCAGAGGAGAGCGAGAGATAAACTCTGAAACTTTTGCCTGCTAAATCCCTTTGAAGCCCGGTTGTCGTGGAAATGAGGGGAGGGGGCACATTCCTGGGAAATGACAAGAAAAGAAGTCTGAAGAATGACTTGGAAGAAAGCCAATGAGAAGCAGAGATTTGGGGATCGGAAAGGGAGGGATTGGGGGGCAAAAGGTCAGTCTTGTCCGCGCGGAGTCATGATCCGGTGGCTGTGCTCAATTAAAGAAAGATTTCCTTAAAGATTGGCAGTTTGGAAATTCATTTAATTTTGAGATAGCATCGTAGTCTGACATTCGGGTGCTTGAAAACAGATTCATAGTTATGACGGTTGCAGTGTCCCGGGTCACAAATATGACATTTTTTGCGACCTTCTAACAAGCAAAGTCACTGGAGAAACAAATTCATTTAAAAAAGAAAAAAAAGTAAGTTTTTTCTTCCATTTAGGCAAGAAAAACCAAATACGCAGGTGCAGTATATGTGGTACCTTGCTCAATAGTACTAACTGTGAGAGGGATCTTGGCATCCTAGTGGACAATCGCTTAAATATGAGCCAGCTCTGTGTTGCAGCTGCCCAAAAACCCAACACAGTTCTAGGCTGCATTAACAGAGGGATAGAATCAAAATCACGTGAAGTGTTGATACCACTTTATAATGCCTTGGTAAGGCCACACCTGGAATCCTGCATCCAGTTTTGGTCGCCACGATGTGAAAAAGATGTGGAGACTCTAGAAAGAGTGCAGAGAAGAGCAACAAAGAGGATTAGGGGACTGGAGGCTAAAACATAAGAAGAACGGTTGCAGGAACTGGGAATATCTAGTCAAGAAAGAAAGTAAAAAGGGAAAAAGAAAGGAAATGGTAAATCTGCAGAAAAAAGATAGAAAGAAAAGCTTCTAATTTTCTGGGAAGCAAGTGCAATTGCAAAGTTATCTCTTCCTAGAGTTACAAAAAGAAAATCTCACTTTTTTTTCTACTACGTGATTTCCTCCCCCCTCCAAACCATCAGACCCACAAATCATAGGTCGATTTTTTTTTTCTGTGTCATGAAAAAAGTCTATAAGGGGGTTTCCAGTCAGTCATAAATGTAGATATTGTCATTTCTTTAATCAAGGAAGTCATTGGAGATTTCTCTGTGAGTTCCATCATCTTCACCAATCCTTCCTCCATTGTGGAGAGTGTCAAACCACTCCACATCTAAAAAAGATGTGGAGACTCTAGAAAGAGTGCAGAGAAGAGCAACAAAGATGATTAGGGGACTGGAGGTTAAAACATACGAAGAACGGTTGCAGGAACTGGGTATGTCTAGTTTAATGAAAAGAAGGACCAGGGGAAACATGATAGCAATGTTCCAATATCTCAAGGGTTGCCACAAAAAGAAGGATTCAAGCTATTCTGCAAAGCACCAGAAGGGCAGGACAAGAAGCAACGGATGGAAACTAATCAAGGAGAGAAGCAACCTAGAACTAAGGAGAAATTTCCTGACTGTGAGAACAATTAACCACTGGAACAACTTGCCTCCAGAAGTTGTGAATGCTCCAAGACTGAAAGTTTTTAAGAAGAGACTGGACAACAATTTGTCTGAAATGGTATAAGGTTTCCTGCCTAAGTAGGGGTTCAACCTTGGTAGCTTGAAGATGGGTGGACTTCAACTCCCAGAAACCCCCAGCCAGCGCTGCTGGCTGGGGGATTCTGGGAGTTGAAGTCCACCCATCTTCAAGCTACCAAGGTTGAGAAACACTGTCCTAGGTGCCTTCCAACTCAGTTGTTCTGTTCTGTTCTATTAACAAACCATGTGACTGACTTAACAACTGCAAACATTCAACTTAACAACGGTGTCTAGAAAGGTGACAAGGTGGGGCAAAGCTCACTTCACAACTGTCTCATTTAGCAACAGAAATTTGGGCTTCAACTGTGGTCGTAAGTCGAGGACTACACCATACATTATTTCCCATGTTATTCTCCCGTCTCAAATTTCAACGCAAGTTTATAAATTGTAGCAAGAGAATTCTAGCCATTCTCTTAACATATTATGTGAACCAGGACCTCTGGTGAAGCCGCTAGAAAGCGGATTTTAGTTCTAGCATGTGTTCTGTCCCTGTCTCACACACGCACACAAACAGATAGCCAGAGGTTAAATAAACCTGGCAGACAACAAATTCTTTCGATAAGAGGATTGGCAGCAACCCAGTAGCTGCTTGCCAAGAACTTTACTCATAGAGGGAGGGGTTCTTCCTCCGACAGATAAACCCAAACAAGATACACACAGTTCAAGAATTGTCAAGTCCAGTCCGTATTAAATCCAAGGCAGATAACGTTGTTTCAAAGATACAATGTGACTCGCTAGTAGTTAGTTTTGTCCGTCACAGAGTCTGAATGGCCACCTCATCCCCTTATATCCCCTGTGGGGTGTGGTCCAGTGACTCAGCTTAATCTCTGGCATGCCTCCTTTTCTGCTGCGTGCGCCTGTCTCTCCGACGCTGGCGTGGATCCAGCCAAGACTTATCTCCGTCACTGTCCAACTGCGAGGAGATACCTGGCTCCTGGGCAATCTCTTCTCCTTCAGGAGACACCTGAGGCATTGCCAGAGAAGAGGGTCCTGGAGAGGGAGGCCTGGCCAACTCCTCTCCTTCATGTTCGGACCTTCTCC